CCTTAACCCTCCAACTGAGATAGCTCTGCAGAGGGAATCCCATAAACACGATCAACCGTTCTGTTGGTGAAGCAATACAGTCCTCTCGTCATGATCAACAAGTACAGAGGCCGCCCAGTGAACATTCCGTGGAGACTGAGTAAGGCGGATATACTTTCTACACCGCCGGGTTGCTTACGTCCAATCAATTCCAGAGCATCGAGTCATGTCTCTTCTGTTTCCGCCTCCGTGTAGGTATACCATTTTCTGCGACTTCAAGACTCTCATCTGTACCCCTAGACTTTGTCGTACGCTGAATATTTGGGAGGATTGGGCCATTCGCCATAGGATTCGCTTTGTTGAAGAAGCCTGGAAGAACGATGAATTCAATAAATTTATAGACTCACTTAAATACCCGAACTGTATTCTGGGAGAAGACGTAGGATATCAATATTCTACCCCTTCAGATACAATGACTAACGGCCTATTAGATAATGCATATTATTGATGCCTGGGTACCTCATCTTCCAAAAGGTGAACGAGCTCGACTCCAGTTCAAAAGGTGGTGCGATCGACTGAATAAAAACAAGACTGAGCCCGGCGACAAATATCAATTTGCGATGTCGCTACCAATTCTTGTTAATGCTTGGAAGACTACCTTGATCCACGCCGAATCAAAGGTTAATGAAGCGGCACATCGGAGAGGCGCAGATATTATTATGATTGAGCAAGCGTTTCAAAATCGTCCCGGGGCCGACCACATATGGAGGTACATATAGCCCTGCATCACTGACTTTGCAACTGCCGTTCATTTACACTTTATTATCTAGGCCTGAGATAGATATGGTCCTACCCGATACTCCGGATACTGTTAAAGCTGATGCTGTCGCATCATTAACCCTGCCGGAAGAATGGTCAAGTTTTCTGAAACAAATTTATAACCAATACGTGTTCTCATGGACATGGACCGTAGAATTGATCGATCTGCCAGAGTCGACTGTCACATTTAGCTTCGAGGCGAAAGTGGACGACTTCAAAGTTGTGTTACGTCAAGTCCAACTTACCATATTTTCAAGCCAGCTGCATAGACGGGCTCTCGGTCTCGAGGACGGACCAGTATTTGGTGCTACTTTCAACAAGAATATTCTTCGGTTTTATGTGTCAAACTGGGAGAATGACACAGTGGTGCGTATCCTCTTCTCTTCTTTATATGTGTGCTCACTTTATGTAGGTTGTACGACCAGCCATTGGCAAATTCGCCCTTACAGACTTTCACCGCTTCATCGAGTGCTACTTTATGCTTTGTGCAATCTCAGAATTCCAGTCCTCATGGTTCAAAGATGAGATGAAACGATGGGACAGAATTTGGGATCAGCAAGAGACAAAACTACGGAACTTGGCGGCTAATCCCTGGCGAAAAAAGGATAAAGAAAATCACAAAGGTCTAGACGAAAACGATCCCGGCGAAGTAGAGGCAGAAGAAGCAGATGAAGACGATGTAGAGGTCGACATTGGAACTTCAAGGAAGTACGAGATAAAGCTTATGGAAGATAGAATCAATAGAGGCGATCCGCCTCCGAAAAATGGGTACCCATTGACGGAAGTATATCGCTATATTTTCGATCGCACCCCGAAGTTTCAACCATGTTGCCGCATACCGTCTGTGTCGGAATGAGCTACAGATTCAAGCCAGTTTGTTGGATTTCACGAGGATACCGATTCGGACTTATTAGAATATATCACAGGTGAGGACGTGGCCGCGTCTGCGGGCGCGGTTTCGTCTACTGACGTGAAAAGTCCACATGCAGTGCACTTACAATAAGTGCGAATGGTTACATAGTTGCATTAATAAACAAATAAAATCAGTTATCATTATACTGTACTGCGTGTGTCGGATTTGCCATTTCCTGAGTTCCTCTGTTATTTCTTCAGGGTTAAGGTTTCGGTTTCTCATTTAAACATGACAAGTTTTAGTGTAGGCATTCTCCCCAGAGCTCTTGCGCTAGTTATGCTTATCGCATTTGCGGGTTTTGCGGATTTTCAAGATTCAAGAGAAGAGCAAATTCAGCAGCTCACGAAGTCATATCATCACGTGACATGATAAAACTTCGGAACCGCGTCACACGGGACGACAGGCAAATCATAACGCTCGGATTGAAAGTACCTGCAACCATTCCTCTCTCTGCGACCATCATGGCAGACAAAATCACCCGAATCGCCATTGTCGACTCTAATAGATGCAAACCGAAGCGATGCGCACAGGAATGTAAAAAAGTGTGTTTCATTTCTCTTGGGATCAAATTTCAACGAAGTGTTGAATATATTTGCATTACAGTCATGTCCTGTCGTCAAAATGGGTTGGCTTGCTGTCCTTTGTGTATGACGTGCTTTTACTGAGGGGAATATTTAGGAAAACTGTGCATTGAAGTCAAGCCTTCAGACAAGATCGCATTCATCTCGGAATTTCTATGTATAGGGTGTGGTATTTGTGTCAAAAAGTGAGCGCATACGTCCAGGTCTTCTAGTCACCTTACCAATCACCAATCTGTACAGATGCCCATTCGAGGCCATCGCTATCATCAACCTGCCAACTGACTTAGAATCGCAAGTAACTCATCGATATACGGCGAATGCATTCAAGTTACATCGATTACCTACGCCACGGCCGGGTCAGGTTCTAGGGTTAGTAGGAACGAATGGTATTGGCAAGAGCACGGCGCTTAAAATATTGGCGGGGAAGTTGAAGCCTAATCTCGGGAGATATGATGTGAGTTGTTTACAGCCCCCACCCTGTTACATATTCGAATGATGGATGTTCGCAGGATCCACCAGATTGGCAGGAAATTCTGAAGTACTTCCGTGGATCAGAGCTACAGAACTATTTCACAAAAGTCTTAGAAGACAACCTCAAGGCACTCATCAAGCCGCAATATGTGGATCATATTCCACGAGCAATCAAGGGCGAAATGAGCGTATCGAGAATGCTCGACTCGAAGCTTGAGCTGGACAACAAACAGCTTATATGCGACATGCTTGATCTTAACGAAGTTATCGATCGCCAGGTCAGCCAACTATCTGGTGGAGAGCTGCAGCGATTTGCAATTGCGATGTCGTGCATACAACGTGCTGATGTGTATATGTTTGACGAGCCTTCGAGTTATCTGGATGTCAAGCAGCGATTAAAGGCTGCAGAAATGATCCGCTCACTACTTCGACCGGATAACTATGTGATCGCCGTCGAGCACGATCTTTCGGTACTCGACTACCTTTCCGACTTCATTTGTTGTCTTTATGGGAAGCCATCGATGTATGGCGTAGTGACGATGCCGTACTCTGTGCGCGAAGGGATCAATATCTTCTTGGACGGTTTCATTCCAACGGAGAACCTGCGTTTCCGAGAGGAGCAGCTATCTTTCAAGATGGTCGAAAATGCGGAAGAAATCACCCTGGACAAAACACGACACTACTCTTACCCGGCAATGACAAAGACGCTAGGATCATTTAAACTCACCGTCGAAGAAGGCGCATTCACAGACTCTGAGATCATTGTCATGCTTGGCGAGAACGGGATGGGCAAGACGACGTTTGTGAGGCTGCTTGCAGGTGATACACCAGACGTCGAAACAGACAAACAAACGTTCTCTGTATCACTAAAGCCTCAAACGATTTCGCCCAAGTTCCCTGGCACTGTTCATCAGCTGCTACTGAAACAAATCAAGCAGGCACTCATGCATCCACAGTTTGGGACGGATGTGTTGAAGCCGATGAACCTCGAGCACATCATGGATCAGGATGTTAAGACGCTTTCTGGTGGTGAGCTCCAGCGCGTTGCTATTGTTCTTGCTCTCGGAAAGCCGAATGTAGCAGTATACCTCATCGATGAACCGTCGTCGTAAGTCTCTTCTTCAAAACTCCAATATTAATTATTCATGACCTCACTCCGCTCCGAACTTCCTAGCTTCCTCGACTCCGAACAACGTATCATCGCCAGCAAAGTCATCAAACGTTTCATCCTCCACTCAAAGAAAACAGCCTTCGTCATCGAGCACGACTTCATCATGGCAACGTACCTCGCAGACCGCGTCATCGTATTTGAGGGTCAACCTGCCATCTCTGCAACTGCGCTGCCTCCGCAGTCGCTTCTTACGGGTATGAACAAGTTTCTTGCTTCACTTGAGATTACGTTCCGGAGGGACCCGACGAATTTCCGACCGAGGGTGAATAAGATGAATAGTGTTAAGGATAAGGAGCAGAAAGGTATGCTTTTTTTAATTTAATTTTTATTGTTCTGTTCTGCTATGCGTTTGAAGGAAGGATGACTTGATGGCTGACCTGTCTTCACTTGTTTAGCTTCGGGCAATTACTTCTTCCTTGAAGAGTAATAAATATAGACTAAGCCACCAAAAGTACATTCGATGGCAGGTCCAGAGACATTGTCTTGGATCGGACGAGTGAGCGAATATGTAGAATAGAGTAAAGTCTGGTGCCTGTTGGCTCATAGAGAAGCAGTAGCAATTTGCTTTGGTTGTGTATGGTGTACGATGTAAGATGTACACCGTGTATATGTATGAGGCACTTGTATGTGTATTGACGAACAATGACTTGAAGAGTTGGTCTTGGTGGATTTTCCAGTGCTTTTTTTTCTCGTTAGATTTGGCAATGGACGTATTGAGTGCGTAATGATATGTCTTTTTCTGCTATGACAGAATACGATGTATGTTACAAATAAATGAGAAAGAGATACGAGATACACGAAAAAGAAAATATGCTTGACTCAACACTCAAAGACATAGTGTGCTCTACAGCTAGAATACGGTTTCGAATTGCGGGTTGTGCATCATGGTAATGCAATCGTTGACGACATCGAAATCTATGTAGTGCAAGTAAGCAAAAGCGGTGCGAAATGTTACATAGTAGGAACAGTGCCACATAAACACAGAAAAAATCGTTAACATACCCAGATCATTCCCAAGTAGGATGCTACCTTGCAACTTGATTGTGTTTGCGTCTTCGACCATACCGATGATCTCTACGAATGAATCCGGGAACTCTTCCGCCTAAACAACATAACGAATCCGATTATTCGTATTAGATAAGAGTGATGGACAGAAGAGGTATTGGAGAGGAGAGGAGAGGAAGAAGTCAATAGACGGACCTACCTTCGGCATCTTCACTTCAACTTGACCCATATCTGACGCACGCACGATAGCAGACAAGTCTTTTACCTACACAGAAAAGTGTGAGAAATAGGAAACGAGACCGAGGCCTATCAAGACAACGACGGATGAAAGCAAGATCAGACAAGTGTATACTTACCCGCTCAACTTTACATACAAGCCTGACTGACCGACCAACGAAGTCGCTGAGACGCGCTGAGTTGACTCGAGGTGTCGATTGTGCTTCTGTGTCTGTGTCCATGGTATGTTTTTCAAGATTGTGTTGGGGAGAGGGAAAGAAATTGAGCAGAGAAATGGGCTGCGGATGTGAGGAGTCAGAGGGCGCGTCACGCGTCGCGACGCGGTCTCACGTGATAATAATGTCACAATCAGATCGTGGCACACAAGCACTTTGATTCTGATTCTTAAAGCAGTCTCCTTTGCTCAGTGACACATCGACCTAGAAAAACCAGGTGCTGGAATTAACAAGTAGATGGATCGTTTCTACGCTGCGTTATGTGTATGTGTAGAACATCGCGACATCTATCTCAGGCTCAGGGCGACAGAAGTATCATGATGTCGAATGGTGAGTTAGCGATAGCCTGCTCACTACTTTCTTATTCGAATTTGACTAATTTTCTCGACAAAAATTTACGATTCATGGTGGACCCATAGATATATCTCGCGGACAAGATGGTACAAATTGCGCATATTGTTATTTTACTTCTATACATTCATCATTGCATAGACTACAGCTATTTTCTCTCACAGCTTGATAGCGTACAACATCCCGTCGAATGATTTAGCTTGAGCCAGCCCAAGCACTGTCGCCTCGACTTCTTTATCGTCCTTCAACTGCTCTACAAGACTTCTGATCGCCTTAACGCCTTCGTCAGTTGGCGAGAAGTGGTGAGGCAATTGCCCAGTATAGGTACTGTTATTCTCGGGCTGCAATGCAGTCTGTCCATTGCGGTTGACGTTATCACAGATCTACGGCAAGTGTCCGATTCAATACGGCATTCATATTGACATTATTTAGACTTACAATTATGGCACCCTTTCTCGTCAACCTCTTTGCCTCTTTGAAGTAGTTTGGCATATTTGTCCAATCCGCATCGATGAAAACGAGATCGAAGGGTTCATCAGGCGTGAGGGTCTTGAGTGTATCGAGAGCTGGTCCGATCTTCACGTCGACCTTGGATGACAAGCCTGCATGATCGAGGTTCTCCCTGGCAACCTATCAAACGCATCGTATCTTCCCCAAAGAGCTTTACTGACTGCAAAGTAGGAGAGCATACCTTGGCATACTCATCGTATAGCTCTAGCGTAATAAGCTTTCCGTCATCCGGCAACGCTCTTGCAAACCAGATGGACGAGTATCTAATAGGGTTTGGATCAACTCTTGTTCAGCATACTATCATCAATGTGCTCAGTAGTTACCCGGCAAGAGTTCCGACTTCAAGGATCCTCTTCGCTTTAATGGATTGCGCGGTAATCTTCAGGAACTTGCCCTGCGTAATGCTGACCGCAATCTCGGGAAGACCATTCGCTCGGCTGTTCTGCAAGGCAGCTTCAAGCGCTGGGTCCTGCGGATTCAACATACTGTTGAAGTACGCATCGGACTTCGCAAAGTCGTCCAAGGTCAGGTGGGTTCGGATAGACATTTCGAAAATGATAAGATGTTGCGAGGGGGTTGATGGAATGGTTATGCCAATGTACAGTGGTATTTATGCTCGTGAGTAGCAAACCTCGCTGCGCCGCGGTGAATGTTTTCATCATCCCTTTCCTTGAGAGAAGAAGCTGAAGACCTTCCTTTTGACGTCGCGCCCACAAGCGCCCATGGAGAAGTCGTACTTTCCGTGGAGGACTTCCGGAATGTCGGGACGAGTTGATCAATTGGCGTATCCAAAGGGTAATATCGATGCCTACTTGCGCTAATCAACTGGTAAAAATATCTAAGATAGCACGGATTTTATAGAACCATACGTTGAATTTCACCAACGGGGTTGAGCGGCTGTCCGTTTTTCGTCTCTCTCTTTGAACATGCCACTTCAGCATGTGGGGCGCTCAACCTCGCTCTCTCCGTATAGTTAGTTTGCCACTTCTTCGCGACAAATTCCAGCTCCTTACTACCATTCTCTGTCAGCGTAGCACCGCAGCTGAATTCTCGATGACAATATTTGTAACGTTCTGCAAGGCTATCAGTAGCCGATGTGAATACTAAGCATGCTTCCCTCTAGGACTTTGATTTGTGGACGAGCACTATAACCACTCGGCCCATTCGGCGCATTTAGATGGGACAAGGAAGATGCACACTATCATCGTGGCACTGTAACCGAATTCTTAATGACAAAATTCGTAAGGTACTGTTCGGTTATCAGAGACTAATATTGATGCAAGCGTGCTTCTCGTCAGAGCTTTGCTCCGGGAAGAGTACTACAATCACTTGGTCCACTCGGCACCAATAGATGGGACATGGAAGGTGGTGCACTCTGCCATCAAAACATTCTAACAGAATCCTTAGCAATTCTCAGGTAGCCGTTCTCAATCTTTTGGGGAGGGGCAATGGCGGAGAACCCTTTGGCAGCCAAAATGGAGTTGCCGGCAGTCGAAGATTTACACATGCCCAGCCACCCCTTGATGAAATTGAGAATGGTCAATGGGTCCAGTCATTGATCTATTACAGCAGCATAAAATTAGTTAACGTAAATCATGATATATTTGGTAGTGATACCTAAAAAAAGATGAAAGTACAAATCAGAGGACCTCAACGCTTGAATGAGTCCTCAAAATATTCTCTCTTCCACTTCAATATACCTGAGGATTCTGAGAACAAAAAAGACAATGTACCAGCCCTCTGGCAGTATTACTTACCCTCTGTTGTATTTACTCCTTATACATATAGGCAGCTAACTCAGCTAACTCAGGTGGCTCAGCTTTAGACCCAATCCGCCCTTGGTTATTGGTCCAATATCCTGACTGCATCACTAGCTACCTCCCCCTCCCGTTCCCTAGCATATCCGGGGCGATGGCATTGTTCCTAATAGCATAGGGTATTATGTACCATTTCATCTACCAGTTCTATACCTGACTATAGTTGCACCACTACCTTCAAAACCCTAATTATTGTCTTAGACAGTGATTCTAAGGGGGTGAAGGTGAAGACAAAGGCTAAAGGGAAAACGAAAGACGTGGCACTTGTGGTAGTACCTAGGAAATCTAGTTAAAGGGTTTTACTCTAGAAAGAATACCTATGTTTACTCCTTGATCACGCCACTTCTGCATTTATGGTGCTTAAACACGCTCTCTCCGTATGGTAAAGTTTCTACTTCTTCGCTACAAATTCAGGCTCCTGACTGTTGTGCTCTATCTTCGTAACACTGCAACCGAATTCTTGATAACGAATCTCGTAACGTACTGCAAGGCCATCAGTAGCCGATTTAAATGCAAAGCGTGCTTCCCGCCAGCGCGCTAGGGCTTTGATCCGTGGAAGATAGGGTAGCGACTCTAGGGAGGGAGAGTCTGGGAGACCCGATGTGAACCTCTCTGATTATGTGCAAACCTGAAAGGGGGGATTCTCGAAATGACTGTGCGGCTAACTCGCTTAAAATAATTTGTATTCTTTATGTCATAATTATCAATTAAATATAGAAAATAAACTGACCAATGTATTATACGGACTATAACATTGATTTTTCAAATAGGGGTGTATTGGACTCTAAATATAATACTGATAGGCACACTGAATTGTTCGAAGTTTTCTCATTTTAGCAAAGTTACCTTACAAATACGCTCGCATACTCCGCTGCAAATCCGTTTGCCGCCGCAGAGATTAACTCGTGCGGTCAACTGCTCTCATTCCCTCCAGTGGTCGACCTTGTGAATCCAACCTCTTTGGGAGTTTCCCTTCTATCCCAATGGGAGAGCACTACAACCTCTCGGTCCAGTCGCCGTCTCCAGATGGGATCTGGAATTTGCAAACAAAGATAAGTCCACCGGAACTTCTTCCACTGTGCAGACCGCTAATAAATTATTACCCTGAAATTGGGTCTCGTTCACCACTGCTACATATCAGCTCTTCGTACCATCTTACTCATACACAATGTAGACTCGTGCATCGCAACGTGCTTTGAAACTTACAGTCAGATCATCTGAGCTTGAAACATTATTCAAGCGCTTCTCGACAAACCGATCAACAAAGAATTGTCGACGGTTGAAACGAGCTTAGGGGGCATATTATAGATATACTAATAAGGTGTCATAATTAAAGTTTTACTCGAAGAAGCTACTCTCTGAGAAAAATGTACTCGGTTTATGAAATACTAATAAAAGTTATAAATCAGAATCTCTGTCGCATCTAGATGTAATTGAAGAAATTACCACTTATTAAATTACTTGTGTACCAAAAATGGTAGATACGGTCTAACGGTCTCTACAGTCTCTACGGAAGTCACCTTTGTTGCTTATTACCTTTGCATCTGCAATTCGAGATAGTATTAAAGCCTATGCATGCATGTCTACAGTTGAGGCAAAACACCAACTACATATTGATGTGCATAAGTAATGTCATCCTCAGAGCTTAGAAAAAGGCACAGAAAGGAAGAAAATCATAGTAGAGGAACTTCACCCAATAACCATGTTGACAAAGACAGCTACAAAGTACCTACTCAGTCTTCCCGTGTAGAATGTGGCATTGGTGAGGAAACTCTTGGGGAAGATATACGGAAGATCCAGCAAGGCATGGCTGGATCAATGTATGACTTGCTGATAGGGGTGAAAAAGTTTCTTTTGGATGAAATTGGAAAGCAAATCAGTGCTGTAGAGAATATGCCTGAAGCACCCAAAGAATGGAAAGAGGAACTCATATCAATTAAGGAGACTGTATCACAGTGCCAGCCAGCCAGTAGCAGTACTACTGTTGACACGAAGGCCAACAGAACAATTGAAGGGGCTAATAAGCGGCTTGAAGCTTCTATAAAGAAGATTCACAACATTAAGTAATTTCCGGGAAGATCTTTGTAGTAGATACTTTTAAATGCAAAGTCTGGAACCTTCATGTTTTATTAGTCCAGCATGAAAGGGCTTGTATTTAGAGTAAAAAATTAGGATTCTACCTCAGTAACTCGTCTATTTGTATAAGTTATTCTCCTCTATCTTGACAGAATTCGAAGGCGGAGTCGCGTGGGCTTTGTCACACGTTGACCAGATTCAAGCAAAGTCTATACATGCAAACTTTGCAAAGCGTTGTTCCACGTGAAATGTATCACGTGTTGCAACGCGACGTTTGCCTTACTTGCTCCACGCATACGTGTGTGACGTGCAATCTACCACTGTTTTTGGCTCTGAAGGCATTCAGAGATTCGAGCTATATATTCAAGTTATCAATATATGATGTAAATAGTGAGTCATTCTGATTTCCAGCTTATCATCGCAAAAGTTAACTTGACCAATTCTCCCGATAAATCGCTACCATTGAATAACGGAGCCTCAGGCATTATATCCGAAATAACATGGCATATATTGAGCTCATTTTCATTCTACTGCATAAATATCCTTTGTAATCTTCGCTACGGCTGCTATCATCGCTCACAGTTTAATGGCATACAACATCCCGTCAAACTGTTTAGCTCCAGCCAACCCAAGAACGGTCGCTTCGACTTCTTTATCCTCCTTCAACTGGGCCAACAGTCTTCTAATCGCTTTGACACCTTCGTTGCTGGTATTTGCAGGCTGCAGTGCTGTCTGACCGTTCCAGTTGACGTTATCAATAATCTACAGCGACTGTCAGACTCCATATTACCTCCATTTGACGTTGCCTGGACTTACAATTATGGCTCCCTGTCTTGTCAATCTCTTGGCCTCGTTGAAGTATACTGGAATGTTCAACCAGTCTGCGTCAATAAAGACGAGATCGAAAGGATCGTCGGACTTGAGAGTCTTGAGAGTTTCGACAGCTGGCCCGACCTTCACTTCGACCTTGGATGACAGGCCTGCACCATCGATGTTCTCTCTAGCAACCTATTCAAAAACATCAGACTATTCTGCAGATGCTGTATCGACTACACGATGTCAGGGCGTACTTTGGCATGCTTGTCAGATAGCTCTAGCGTAACAAGTTTTCCGTCGTCAGGTAGCGCTCTAGCAAAGCAAATAGACGAGTATCTGACGGAGCTCAGTTAAGTATGTCTGTTTCGTGCTGAGTAAGGTCATCAGAGGGGTCAGAGCTTACCCGCCAAGAGTCCCGACTTCGAGAATCCTCTTTGCCTTCATTGACTGTGCGGTTATCTTCAGGAACTTGGCCTGCGCAACACTGACCGCGATCTCAGGAAGACCATTTGCCTGGCTGTTCTGCAAGGCAGCATCAAGTGCCGAGTCCCGGGGATTCAGGAAGTCATTGAAGTATGCATCGGACTTGGCAAAGTCGTCCATGCTTAAGTTTACGCGGTGAGACATATTTCGAAAGCGATGAGGTGTTACGAAGGGGACGATGGGCTTGTCATGCCGAAGTACAGTGGTATTTATGCTCGCGAGTCGCAAACCTCGCTGCGCCGCAGTGAATGTTTTCATCATGGTTTCGTTAATTATCTGATAACTTCCATTATATGTCGGAGCGCGCTGACAAATAAGCGGATCCGAAGGGAATCTTATCTGATAATACTCCGTCCTGGGGAGTCATAATTGACGATTTGACTCATTGCAGACGCTGCGCAGACTACTGCGGACAGGAGCATCATTGATCCTCTTGTTCAATCTAAAATTACCACACCAGAACACTTCCTTGTGGGGAGAAGGAATGAACGTCCTTGAAAATTCATGCAAGACAAAGCGCTCTTGCTGCCATTTGTGGGTGGATGCAGCAACGCGTCCACTCGGCAGAAGAGGTTGATTAAAAGGTTCAATCACTCCAATGACATGAGTCTCTGTCAGATGTCCGAGTCGGATTCTGTAATCAACAGCGCACATTATGTTATGCAAGCTATCGACTCGGATGTAGAATCCGAGCTATTTTTGTTTATTTCGACCACGAGAATCGCGAGGATAGTACCCTTGGTTATAAATTGATACACCTGAACTCGTTATTCGATGATCGCGTCTCACGCTGTGTAAAAGAAGTCGAAGACCGAGTTTATTAGTATTAGTGAATTAGAGCGCAACGTGTTAGGATCAAGGGTCTAGGTATTCGAGTACCGTAATACTCTCAGACCCCAAATTTCGTGTACAGGGGTACTAATTTATCTCGTACATGTCTAAGCACATTGGTATGCAGTAGCTAGTAAATGTCCTGTGAGCTTCTAGCCTGTATCAAGAAAGGGTGATTAAGAAGTGCTCCATGAGTGTACCGGTGCAAGAGCGTCTTGAAGGTCATGGATAACGTCGATTATCGCCTCCTACGTACACGGGCTTTTACTGGCGGACGCAACGAAAATAATCCGGCAAAGGTACCAGCCGCAAGTGCTTTCCAGCCGTAAGATCAAAATGCTGAGTGGTTTTCAACATATAATACGATAGATAACCGACGTATGGATTGCAACATGGTATGTTCGTTTGGAAGTTGAGCGATGATGTTAAATGTCTTCCTCGAAGTCCTTCGCCCACTCTCGTAATCGAAGAGTCAACTCACCATCGCCACTCGACTTCAGCTGTCTTGAAACCGGGACGTGTGAATCTCTGGATGCGGTTTGTTTGAAGAACCTGAAGAATCCGAAGAATCCAAAGAATCCGTAGAAGGCGCGAGCGAAGAATGCGCGGACGCCTGCGAAGAACGATCGAACAAACGGCTGTGCAACCCCCCTACAAATTTAGCGTTGAGTAAAATAGGTACTGAAGCAGGAGTAGTAATGTGATGATAGCTCACCAGACGGCCCCTTGGAGGAGTGGGCTCGCGAGTTGATCTCGCGTCGTGATCCAAAGAACTTGTTTCCACCGCACGCCAACGGCCTCTCTACACTCCTCTCCACCCGCACTGCCAGCTACACGACGAGTCTGTACATAAGGAGCAATACTCTTAAGATAGCTTTGCTCGAACCGGAGGTCGGGTATTGTTGCAAGAGTGACATGCTTTGATCCAGCGTCTGAACGGTGTTGAGTCTGCACAGCTGAGAGGCCACCGACGTGTTTTTCGCGCGCTGCGGTGCTTGGGATGTGTGATGGATTACTTGAGGTCATTGCAGGTAGCTGGACGATACACCGTCATGTAGAAATTACTTGACTAAATGACTTCAGCTTTGAGTTAGATGTTGGATGGCGATGGTGGCACGTGACTTCATGCCGAAAAAGATTGCCACATGGGGCAT